CTTGGCTACTCTCGGGTAAAGGTTATAATCACATGTCTGTAGAACAAATAGATATCTTAATTAATTCGTACCACTTTCCATTAAAAAGCTTATTCAAAATATCAAATAAGTTTTATGGCCTAATTATAATTTATTTTCTCCACTACCAGCTATTTATTATTTATACCGACTACTGCATTTTGTTTTGCGATGTGATGTACGGTACGAACTTATTTTCCGAAAGGACACAAATAAAGAATCCTGAATCTTGACAACTGAGAGAAAGGATAATGAGACTGATTTTGTTATCGTATTGATAGACGGGGGGAAAGGGTTGTGAGATGAAATCCGATAACATCCTCATGATTAACATTCCCAGAACTCCAAAATGGATCAAAAGAGTAAATATAAACATAGTTCTTCTTTTTTTAGTCCATATTTATTCAAGGAAAGGCCTAGAGCTAAGCCTCCTAAGGTTAGATAGGAGGCCTAGCCTACCCTACTGTAAGGTCTCAGCTAGTATGAGCAGATTATCAGAGGCATAGGCTGGACAGGCCTAAATACTGGTAGCAAGAGGAGGAAATTCAACTCTTTGCAAATCCTTTTCCACGCATTGCCACATACTCTCTTTGCTCCCTTGCCTCAGACCTAAAAAAGAGTAGCCTACAGTTCTACAAAGTTGCATGAAACGGCTCGTCGGTCATCGTGGGCAAATTGTTTTAATAATGGTCGGGACTTTATTGTTGACCTTTGAGAGTATTAATGCTCAAAGTCATTGTTGCATGACTGCTGTAACTATATCTATCTATATATTGAGGATTTTATTTACAATTAAAAGTGTACAAAACATTATTTAAAATTACAATTTAATTAAACAAAATTACAATTTATAAAAGGGGAAAAAACATGCAGCGTTTAGATAATTCAAAGGGAGGGGAGAAAACATCAAGAAATAGAAAGGAGAAAATAAATTAAAGTCATTTGAATGCAAATTTTTGGAATTGGGGGATCACGTAGGGTAAAAGGTGGTCCGCCTTGAAGGACCCTACAATTAATGGAGCATACCCAGCAACCCAGGTCAAGGGGGGGGGGGCGTGGAAACACCATTATAAGAAATTTAGCGTAAATTTAAATTTTATGTTTTTAATTAATCAATTATATCTTTAAGAATTTAGAAGGGCTGTGAGATATGGCAAACGGCTCTTTTTGAATATTGTGGTGGGACGGCCAAAGTTTCCATATCTCCTCATATTTCTGAGTTGCATACTGTAAATTGTATTGCATTGGGGGAACCAATGAAAAAACCTTTCACTTGGGTGGCTTTTTTTGCAAACCTAAGGCATAAGTTGGGCCGGCCGTCATTGAGATGCTCCAACCCGAGAGTAACAAGAGCATCCTCATAGGGTATATATTGCTCGCCCAGCAAGGAGTGGCATACTCTCTTCTGTATTCCCTCAAGGCGACCCACCTGCAATCCAGCGAGCCCTCCGTTCCAAATGGCACCCGCATACTCCAAGGCTGGTATAATAATATAGGCCTACCCCTTACACACAGTCAGTAATCGATTTATTGAGACCTGCTTGTTTTAGTTTGCGTAACATATACAACTTCGTATTCACATGACGTTCCCATTTTAAGTTGGACTGGAATATGACACCTAGTAGTTTAACCTCATTAACAACAGGTAACAGGTTGTTAGATAGGCGGTTATCCTGGTCTGGAAGTGTTTTGTGACCAAAGTATACTCTCATAATATCTGACACTTGGTTGGATTTAGGTTTAGGTTGTTTGTTTCTGACCACTGGTGATGATGATGAAGCATATCTAAGGTGTTTTAGATGAAACTTGGGTTATTTATAACTACATTTTTGCCAAGTATCAGATCGTCAACATACTTCCAGACCTGAATACCGGTGTTCACAAGTTCCACTTCCAGAAGAGCAATATTAATGACGCAAATGAAAATGATGGGAAATGAAGAATTGTACTCTGAGGAACCCCTCCTGTAAGTGTTTAGACAAAGAGTTCATATACTTAACCCACTGCCTTCTATTAGTCAGGAAGTCAACGACCCATTGCATGATTGATGGACAAGGCTATGTTATGATCTAAAGAATCAAATGCTTTAGTGAAATCGGTTAAAGCCAGTGTACTTATAGAATCCGGTTTTTCAGCATGGGAGATTAGTTTATGATAAATATCAATCAGGCAATGGGTCGTAGAACCCCTTTTTAATTTCCGTATTGACGATGGCCAACATGCGGTTTAATGGTGTTGATTATAAATGTTGAAATTCAACGCTCTGCAATTTTTTCAAGCGTGGAAGTTAGAGATATTGTCTTAATTTATCGATCATAGGTGGGTTCTGTTTCGGAAGCGGATACCATTTTAGTCCAGTCCGAAATGTAGCAAAATCATTTTTTTTTCTGCTATATTTAAAAAAAATTGGATATGATGTAGAGTAGACATTGATAAATCAAAAAAGTATGTGCAACATTTTGTTTCTCATACGTAAGGGGGGTTGCCAGCAGTTTCAAAATGGCCGCCATTTTTTCCTAAAGGTGTTACTGATATTGTAAGTTTATGTCATTAAAATGCAGTATTCAATTGGAAATCCACCCATAACAATGACAACAACTGTTAACTAAATATTGTACACATTTTTGAGCTATTACAATTTAAAATGGCTGCCATTTTCCATTATTTTAGCTTTTTAACATACATATTAATAATAATAACTGATCTGTAACTGTAAAACAAAAACGTGTGAGAGCTAGTTATATGCAATTGTCATATGCTGTTAATGGTTATTACCATAATATATATGTATATACATATATACGGCCATATAATGCAAAACAATTTAAAATTAAAATTAAAACGGAACAGTGGAGAAAATTCGATCAGAATGACAAAATAAACTAAGCATCCACTGGAAGGAATCCCAATATCTGCAGACGGATCCGTTTCGGCCTTCCAGGCCTCATCAGTGCAGCTAGGGTACAGACCCAAACGAAACGTTCGACCAGCTTAGGTAGCGCCCAAACTAGTCCCACGACCACTAATGATTACAGAGGCAAACCAAGGCAGTGTATATACATAGCGCAGGTGTGAATGCAAATAGTGGAATACAAGCTATGCGGCTCGGCCCCAGTAGATAGAGAGAATATTTTGTCATTCTTAACGCGTCCTACAAAATTCTTACGAGACAGCACTAGTCCGTGAATCTGTGAACAAGATCGGAGATCTAAAGATGCAATCTCTACCGTGCATCAATGGCGACGCTGGATCTCAATAGAGATTCTTAACTAATATAAAAGTTTGAAAGGCAAATGGGAAAAACCCATAAAACAGCAAACGGCCATATAATGCAAAACAATTTAAAATTAAAATTAAAACGGAACAGTAGAGAAAATCCGATCAGAATGACAAAATAAACTAAGCATCCACTGGAAGGAATCCCAATATCTGCAGACGGATCCGTTTCGGCCTTCCAGGCCTCATCAGTGCAGCTAGGGTACAGACCCAAACGAAACGTTCGACCAGCTTAGGTAGGGCCCAAACTAGTCCCACGACCACTAATGATTACAGAGCCAAACCAAGGCAGTACCGTATATATACACAGCCCAGGTGTGAATGCAAATAGTGGAATACAAGCTATGCGGCTCGATTCCAGTAGATAGAGAGATTATTTTGTCATGCTTAACGCGTCCTACAAAATTCTTACGAGACAGTCCGTGAATTTGTGAACAAGACCGGAGATCTAAAGATGCAATCTCTACCGTGCATCAATGCCGGCGCTGGATCGCAATAGAGATTCTTAAATAATATATAAGTTTGAAAGGCAAATGGAAAAAACCCCATAAAACAGCAAACGGCCATATATTGCAAAACAATTTAAAATGATATATGCAAACTGGGCTGGTTTATGGAAGATGTGTAACTGCGAAGTGGAAGGGAGTTCCTGCAACAACTTTCCATTTGTTGTCTAGTGTTTCTGATTCATCAGACAGTGACAGTGATAAAGAAAGTGATAATGAACATTAGCATTGCAGGCTAAAAAGGTTGTGGAACGGTGATTTAGCAAAATGCCGCTTTTATTAGGATTTTGCTAATGACAGCTTAAACCCTGGGACATTATAATGTGAATTGACAAGGATATATTAGAGTAACAAATCAATTTTAGCATGCAAACTTAAAAAATGATACAGAGTTTGCCACTTACTTACAAAACTGCTTGTACATTAAAAGAAAAATACCCAGTATTTTTTGTGTATGTACTATTATCTCTTTTCCTGTGTAACCCTGTTAAAGCCCATTTAGATATATTTTAAAAACCTATTCAAAATAACCATTGAGATTGTTCTAGTTGAAAACTGTTGGGAGACCTGTTTTATATTTGTTGATTCCAGTTTAAAAACCCATTAAGATACTTGTTAAATCCTGTTAACTCTTCTTGTTAAACCCTGTTGGATGACATGTTGGTTCATGTTAGATACCTGTTTAGTTAATACCTGTTAAAATAGTTGATACCTGTTAATACCTATTGAATCTAGTTGATACCTGGTTAGACTTGTTGATACATGGTGGATATCTGTTAATTCCTGTTGAAACATGTTAATATCTTCTGTCGGTTAATGATCTGCTGTCGGTGAAAGGTCTGTCAACAGAAAGTCTATACGTAATTTAGTCAGTCAAACGGTAATGATTTTACAATTTAAAAAATTACAATTTTTAAAAATGTCGGCGAAATAATATTAGGTGTCTGCGAAAAAACTTATCTGCAAAAGAATGCCGGCAAAAACTCCACGGCAAATCACCAATCACCTGTCGGCAAATTTCAATCGGCTAATTGTCTGAATTATAATATTGTTTTATATTTAAAAAAAATAAATATTGAGACCCTTACCTATTTTGTTTATTATCACAAACAGATGACGCATCTCGTTTTGTGTAGAAACTTATCAAATGTAAATACCAGCTTTAAATGCACTAATGTTTCTAATGATTGTAATTTTCAGAAGTCAAATCAAGGAGAAATGAAAGACGTGTGTGAAAGGCCAAATTTGGAACGTCATACCAGCCAAATCCCGCTTCAAGATGACTTCGCTACTACCGACAATGATGACCAAACAGTACCTCAAACAAGAAGCTAATTGCATCACAAGATATCAACAGCAGATATGTTACCCAAAATGTGATTACTTTAATAAGGTTGCCTACAACCCCTTAAAAAAAGTGTTATATAAAAGTCATTTTTGTATGTTTACATAATAGTAAATCAAAATTACTTTATTAGGTTAAGGATATTGTTATATTAATACCAATACTGTACCATAATTTCATGCAATGGTACGTCATCATGTTATGGATGGTATGTCCGTTACCATCACTATGGTCATCATCATCAACTAAACTTTTTGGCATTTGGCATTAATATTTTACAATGTGGAATTGTCTAATATTGAATTAAAGATTATAGTCAGGCAGCAAAACTAAAAAGCCCTATTTATCTACTTAAAAATAGGTCGTTAGGAATGAAACCTAATATAGAAACTTTCATACATGTGTTAAGAGAATGTAAAATAAAAAAGACTGATTATTTCAAAAAATGGAAAGGGATAATTTAAAACTAAGTAAAAAGTTTGGCAAATGTGTTATTTTGCCTTAATCATCTTTAATGTTCTTGGTCTTTTAAGTTATACTGAAGTTTGATTTATTGTGTTTTAAGGTTAAGTCATTATGTTCTGTTAATGTATTGATTATTATTATTGCTTGGATTTGTTTATTTCAATTCTATGTAATGCTGTGATTTATGAACTATTGAACTGAATAAAAATTGCCTAGTTAGTATCGGTCAGCCTGAAGTTGAATTGGTCATATGAATTAATATTGGAATTGCGTCGCAAAAAAAAAAAAAAATGCGGCAACTGCAGGTGGCCATTAACCACTTCCTTGTTTTCTTCAATATTCTTATGAATTTATTATGCTCCACTGTCAGCGCTACACCATCATTCTTTCCTGGGTCGACAATGTTACTTAGAGGTTCCTCTATCACTTCGGATATTCTAGTGGCAGTTCCCAAGGATATTGTACACAACCTATGTTGCTCAGGCTAGCTCATACCAACAAGACCCCATCCAACCACTCTTTTCACAGCATTTTAATCATATTTATGGGTGCTAGGGCTTTGGGCAATTAGTGCCAATAAGCAGCCCTACTGGCACATTTCGTAGCGGAGATTCAAGTTATTGTAAGCGAGGCTAAATTTAATGTTGTCTAGATTAGGGATCTGTGACACTATAACTGGGATACTGTTTCTAGTAAATAAAACTGGTACTTGCACAGCGTCAAAATGATTCAATTCTCTTATGGTCACACGTTCAAATCTTCTAACCTCATCTTGCCTGCCTTCAGTACAGCTCAAAGTTTCCCCTTCAAGTTATCTGTCAACAAGAAAGCATAAGACTGATCATCAAGGAAGACACGGCAATATGCTTCACTTGTCATAGTTGGCCATTACTTGAAAAAATGGCTGATAAGCACCTACTCTCTTTGTTTGTAGCTCCAGATTTGCTAAACATACTCGTGATGTTGGTATCAAGTTGAGACTAAGGTGCTTGTATATCAGATTGTTTGTTGCTGGAAACAGGGAATTTATGCATGTATGTAAGATTATGACATTAACAGACATGTACGCTTTATTTTGAACTTTTCTGTACCTCTAGCAAAACACCCTTTACACAGACCTTTATCTCTAAAAGTTTGTTCTCTTTCAGAGAGCTTCATGCCCAAGAAGTTTCTGCAAATTTTCAACAGGATGTGATTGGCTATACACTACACATATGTAACATGTGGAAGGTTGCTGAAAATGTACCGAAGTACTAAATGAAGGCTCCTTCCATTTATGCAAAGCAATAGCCGCCTCCCCAAATCCATTTCCATATACTGAATCGTGTATTTCCCTGGCTGAAGCTTTGACAAAAAACCTGACATTCACAAATTCTGTGTGGGTAGCTTGCCCAGCCACGCCTAAACAATTACTGCGGTCTTACCATGGAGGTAAGACCACAGTGTTCATTGCCGATTTATAGCATTCCGCAAGGGGTTTCAAAACACAATATTGGATCGATCGCATTGAGTGTTCTGACAGCATACATCGAAATTAATGTGTTCAGCTTCATTATGGACCTAGGAACATCGCAAACAGTGTTCTCAAATGATGATATAATGCATAAAAAAGTGGGTCTCATTCAGCTCCACAGAGGTAGTGCTTTCAACACCCCAGTTATACTCTGAGATGATTGTGTCACTGGAATTAGCACTATGTGAGTCAGCATCACCTTTCAAACTCATTTCAAGATTTCTCGCGGTTGGAGAAAAGACAATCTCTGGCTCATCTGACATTGTTGCAGGAGCTTTTTCAGTATCCTCCTCTGGTGCAGGTAAGTCCACTGTTTCTAGAGCATCACTTTATTATTAACAACATCTCATTTAGACACAACATACGGTGGTCAAAGGCGAAATTGCATGTTATTTACAATTTTATTTTCAAAAGTTTCATTATAATAAAAAAATATATATAGAAAAATACAGTAAAAAAGTAATCATCAGAAAAAAATTACACCAATAATATGAATAAAAAGAATACAGGTAGAAGTTTCATTGAGAAAACGATTAATATAAAAAAACAGTTACAAATTTAGAAACATCAGATAAAAATATATAAATAAATAAAAGTGAGAAATCGAGAAATTCAATCCGAAATAATTGTGTGTTGCAATTTATTCTATCTGGCCATTTCTCCCAGAAACTCATCTGGACATCAGTCATCCACTCGAATTGCCTCTCATATTCTTCATTATTTTCAATCATTTCGACGTCCTTAACATATGTCAAGCCATGTCGAAAACTTATTGAAATCAAATAACAAAATACTGTAACAACATTTATAATTATTAACATAGCAATGGAATGACAATTCAACACTAACTAGATTATAATTTAATCAAACAGTCAGGCTTATAGAGTTATTTATCATTACTGTAAGGTTATAAAAAATAACTTTCTAGAATCCTGTCTAGTTTTAATGGTAACTCTCCATCACTACGATTTAACCATGATTAGATCCATGACCACTTAATAACACAGGGGTGTAAGCAAGGACGCTAAACTACTTGAATGGGACCTCTATTTAGTACAGGGGCATACTGAAGGCCATGGAACTGTTCCCATCACAAGATGGACTAAAGTAGGCTAATAATCACTTTATGCAAATACACTAGATTTTTTAGTAGACTAGGATAGTTGTTGAATTATTAGAGAAGAGACTAATTCGAATAGAGACAGCAGCAGAGTAACAACTTGAATAGAATAGGAGTTAAACGCCGGTCTACATCTTTTTAAATATATCTTACATCAGTGAAACTTAAAGCCAGTTACTCACTGCGTGCGACGGCAACGCGACGAAGAACGCACGCGAAGATGCGGACCAAACGGATTGTCTTTTTAATGAGGATCCGTTCAGATTGCCACTGGCAATCAGCAGACGGCGTTGGGTTGTCTATCGCTCGCCGGAAGCAAATGTGGATTCGTCGTACGACGCGGTGAGTGTCCGTCTAACGTTTATCTTAAATTATCTCGTACCTGGTGTAGTAGTTTGAATAAAAAGGGACCCGTGCTCTACTCAACTAAAGTATCTGTTTCAGTGTAATTTTGTATACCTTGAAGTGACGCTGAATACACACACGCAACTACAAAATAATCAGCGTTACATTGGTGGCAGCGGTGGGATTCAAAAGCTATAGTTTTGATAATCTAAAACGAGTATGCCTCGCCAACGAAGAAACTCAGAAAGCCCAGAGAGAGCTCCGTCATCATCATCATTAAGAGTGCACATGAAAATTGAATTGCCTCCTTGTTATAATGGAGATGGGACAAAGGATTTTGGCCAATGGAGCAGGAGACTAGAAATTGTAGTCAATGGCTATCCACAGCAGTCACTAGATCTTGCCAAAGTTTAGTTTCTGGGATAATTTAGACCCCGGAACCAAAGCAGACTACTCCCTGTCGAAGGAAACATTGAAAGAAGCTTTTACCAAGCGTGAAGGACGTGAAAACTTCAGAATTTTCATCAGTGCTAGGCAATGAAAAACAGGTGAGCCCCTTGAAGTATTATGTGGCCGAACTTACTCGCCTTGTGAGGGATGCTTATCCTGCCTAACTGAGCCAATAGTAGAGCAGGAAGTATTCCGTCGATTCAATGCTGGTTTAGAGCCATCCTTAATACAAAAAGTATATGAGCATGGGGTTAGAAATATTGCAGATGCCCTGAAGGTGGCCTCTCAAATTGAAAGAGCTACTCATGCCACAAAATTAGTTGCGCCTTTGATGCCAGTGGCTTCCTTAACCCCACAACAATCCACTCTAGAGATGGTCCTCTAGAAATTAGACAAATTACAACTTGAATTAAATGAAATGAAATCAGAAGCACAGAAGCGTCATATATCACCCAGTCCATACTCGGAGAGGAGGCAATGGTCGAACTATCGAGGTGAGTCGGACAATTTTCGACCGTCTAGAAATTAGAACTCCCGTTATAACTCGACAAGGGAACGTAATAGCCGATCATCATGGAGACTACAATATCAAAGGGATAATATCGCCCTAGTAACAATTTTGATAGTCAAAGACGTGTCCGTTTCACAAGTCCTCATTCGGGAAACTGATATTGTCTGCCGAAGCGAGCCAAGCTGCAGACAATGTACCTAAAACGGCTCATAAATGTAACATTGAAGCTGATGATCCCCTACACCATAATTCCCGTAATAAGACGGATCAAAAATTGATGCGTACGTAGATACTGGGGCTTCACTGTTTCTAATAAGCGACTCTGTAAGAATGTCGAATCCGCTACTGCGTTTGCGTAAGGATTTTAACCCACTCCAGTCAGTTACAGTACAGCATTTATACATATTGGGAACTGTAATTATTTCTCTACACATTGTAATTAATCAATTTCAGCATAGATTTAATGTTATTCGTGATATTCGCCAACCGATGATTATTGGATGGGACTTCTTACTCCAACATTGCGCATCAATGAATGTTAGTGCAGGTAATCTTAAACTACATGGAATTGAATAGGCCTATCCTTTAATTCGACATCGCCAAATTATTCCATTGTCATGTCCAATCTCGACATTATCGTCGTGCGTGATACTATGATTGATAATGCTAAAGTAGAGACACCAGGACATTGCTTAGAATTGTTTTAGAAGCAAATTCAACTACAAGTTTTGATACCAGCGTTAATAATGAATCCAACAAACGAGGAAATACATGTTTTAGCTGGAATTTCTATCGTACAATTTTATTCCATGACAGATAGGGAGGAAGAGCTGTATTGCCTGTCACGTCATCTGAAGATGACTGCCCGGAATTGGGAAGTGTTTCTTCCTTACCTACAGTCGATGTTACCAAAACAAATTTGACTTCAGATGAGGTACAACAGGTAAACAACCTTCTACATCAATTTTCTGACATATTTAGCTCAAACAAATCTAATTATGGATGCACCAACATAGTTAAACATGCTATCCCCACGGGATATGAACGATCAATCAGACAACGAGCGTACCGTGCTTCCCCACGTATACGTGAGGAGATACAAACGGTAAATGAACTGATAGACAATAATATTATTATCAAACACAGCCACAGCCCATGGGCCTCCTCTGTGGTAATGGTCAAGAAGAAGGATAATACGTATAGGTTTTGCGTCGATTATCGAAAATTAAATAAAGTTACCATCAGGGATTCACATCCTCTTCCTTGTATTGATGACAGTGTTGATGCTTTAGCAGGT